GAAAAATAATAATTTTTCCTCAATTTTACCGTTAAATTCACATAGGCATCCTGGCCAGATGCTCGATTCGCCTAAAGCTAAAGTCTGATCCACTTTAGCTCGGAAACTTAAAGCCAAGTTCATCTTGCATAATACAGTTTGCCCGTTTCAATCGATCCAAGTCATGCGTAATTATCAGCCAAGTCAGTCTTGCACCCGCATTCGACTCGGATACTTCAATGTGGTACCGATGAAATGATGCCGACCTGAAATGCACATCGAGTATTACACTTAGAAGATAAGTTGTACGAACAATCATAAGTCGGGCCTCCCGCACGTTCGTATTCACACTTCTCTAAAGCCAAAACCCGCTCTGGATTTCTTAAGTCATGCAAAACTATTAAGACGACCTGGTTGCATCTTGCATTCGACTTAAGAAAAATTCTAAGTATTGAATTACGGACCGACCTCACTCGCGTATTCAACTTATGCTTAGAAATTTAAATCGCATAAACAGTTTAAAGCCGATATCGCATCGCAGTTTATGTTCTAGATTTTCGATAAATTACATCGTTTCATTAATAAAGTGCCAAAACGGCGGACAAATTACATCAGTCTACAAATACAACATACTTGATTGCAAACAAACAAGGAATTTATTCCTCAGCCTCGGCCTCTTCCTGGATCTCTCCTTCTTCCTGCTCGGCCTCTTGGCTGTTAGGCTGATCGACATCTTGACCATCTCCCTTATCGGCCTCTCTCTCCTTCTCCTGTTCGGCTCTCTCAGGGGACTTAGTCGCTCCCGACTCTTCTTGCCCAATCTCACTCGCGACTTCAAGAAAGAACTCCAGTTCAGGAGCCTCAAGCTCTTCAGCCGAGAAACTGACCTCCTCGAAGGCTTCTTGCTCGGCCTTACTTTCGGTGATCTTCTTTGCCATATTCTCATCAATGAGAGGTGGGAAGTCGTAGCCTTACTTTCGGATAATATTAAGTGCCCTCTGCGCGCCAACCCATTGCACCACGGTCGAAATCAGCTCCTCGGCTTTCTCCTTTCGGGCCAGAGAGTCTTTAACTTTGCCGACCAAGTTGGCGTACTGACCATTTACTTTGGCGGCCGCACGCATTGCCATCTCCTGGCCAAAGGCAACCTTATCTCGTTTGGCCATTTTCTTCTCGGCCTCAAGCTTGTTCTCGGCGGCAGCCCTCTCCTTTGTGATCTGCTTAACAGCCCGGCCAAGGAGCCTATTTTTCTCAGCGATATCCGCACGAGCCTTTTCCAGGTTCTCTGAAGATTCCCCGAGTTTAGCTTCAATTTCGGCGTTCGTTTGCTTCTCGGACTCGAGAGTTTCCTTGATGGCTTCTCTCTCAGCCCTGTTGGCCATACACCTTTTGGCGTCAGATCATACTCGCACATCACAATCAGTGCAGTATTAAGGGCCTGCATAGAAACAAGGTTCATCGTTAAAATCGATCTGGTACGTCTAGGAATGGAGAAGCGGAGATTATTTGATATTTTACCTTAGCCTGATCGGATGTGAAGCGCGCAATCGCTTCACTGCGAATTATGCTTCGGAGATCGGTTGGTGGTAGAGCCGGGTGATCCCTTAATCGGAGAAAGAAGTCCAGGAAGGATACATGATCACTCACCAATGGACCACTTCCTTGATAGTCGTATGAAAATCCCGAACGGACGAAGCTCCCATTCGGCGCGAGGCCTCTTTGACCTCTGCGAATCCTCGGGCATCTCCTCCGGACCCTTTTACTCGAGCTAGCGAGATTGCCTTCCCCACTAGCCTCGTCCGCTCTGACCTTCTCATGCTGCATATCCTTGCTTCCGCGCTCTACCAGTTCGGCTTTCTCCGCCTTCTTTGCAGCCCTCTTATCGGTTGCCTTCTTACTTGGCTGAATCTTTCTCAGCCATCTTTTTGGCTGCCCTTCTGGCCTTGATTGGGTCATTTTCAGCACCATCCCTCGAGGTAGTTGGTGCCTGGCGCCCTTCTTATGACACAGCCGAAGCAGAATTCTCGGCTCCTTTAGCACCCGGAGATCTGAAAGCCAATTTTAGGTTGGCAGAAAGATCCTTGATTGAAAGAGATTTCATTTTTTCTGGTCGGTTTTTTCGTCGAAGAAGGGCAGCTGAAAAACAATTCAATGGAAACCGTTAGCCGACTAAACATTTCGTTTAACACCTCTACTGAAAGGCAAAGCAAAACTAACATTTTGTTCTTTCGATCTTCTCCTCTGTAATCTTTGGCCAAGTGATTGCACTGATCGCTGAAAACCTCTTGGAGATGTTGTAGATATCAACCGGATCGGCTACTATGGAAAGATGCATATTACCTGCAAAATAAACAAAACAGATCAGAAAATCAGACGTACACAAACCTTTTAACTATTTTTTTAGGTCGGGCATATCTCTACCTATGACCTCTGTCCATTTCGTTCGAATTGGGATATCCCGGTCAACGACGGAGAATTCGTTGATCAGCACGAAGAAGTATCGGTCTCTCCAGTCCGCCATTTTTGATTTCTGACCGCCAATCACGATGTTAAACCGCGTCTTCATGCTCGTGTAGTACGAACCATGGTTTCTCAACTTCGCTTTAGTTCTCCAGATATACGTCATCGTGTTGAATGCGGCCTGGCTCAAGGGGATGTCGTGCTTGATCGACATCACCAACATGCTGACAATCAGACGAATTGTCGCATGAGTAAACTGGCAGATCGGCATCTCTTTGAGATCGATGAACTCCAGCGGCAGCCTCGGGAGGGGAAACCACAGATGAAATTCCTTGAAGAAGCACTCGTAGAGACACAACCATCCTCTGGGAGCATCCCATGGCCGTTCAGAAGGGCTCGAGACCATGAAAATAACTTCAGGTCCGATATCGCCTTCTTGCTTCAGCGTGACCAAGGACTCCATAGTCGACTTGGTCGGCATCACTCCCATGACATTATCGCAGGTCGACCTAGCCACTTTCTCCCCTTTTCGTCTCTTGACTTTCTTCTCTGGAGGGTTCATATCGATGATGCCGAACTGATTGACTTCTTCCTCCACGATGATCGCGCTCCTGGAATTCTCGATCCAGTGCGGAGAGGTCGCTCATATCCGAGGACCGATCTGAACCAGAATCATTGGTGACAATCTTCTGATCGGCCCCTTATGGCCTGGTCGTCCCTCGACATCTAACAAAATTCGCTTAAAGGGATGCTGATTTCATCTGCTTTCTGTTGATCCGACCTGCTCTTCTTCGACTCTGGTCGGCCTTCCCTAATCTTCAAACTCTAACTCATGGTTGGTCGGACTGAATGGCGGCTTTGGTTAGATCGGAAAAATCTCGCGGTGGATATCGAACGAAATGCAGCGGAGGTTTGATCGGAAAATCAGAAAAATAAAGAACAAAGAAAAGAGAGAAGAGAGCAAACCTTTTGACAGAGTTTCGCTAAAATACAGAAGTGAAGATTTATGAGCCGAACCCCTCTTATTTATACAGAAATCTAGACGGTCATCAAGAGTCATCATGACTTTGGCGACTGTTCGCATTTCTTCTCATTTTTTTTTATCGGCCTCACCGCTTTCCTCCTCTATTGTTTGACACATCTCAAGCCTAGTTTTGCATGCGCAGACCTAGCCTAGCCTAGCCTGATTTTGGTAGGAATTTTAGACGGGAGCTTTTGGCGTCCAATTCACCATTTGGTCCCCGTCATCTTGCAGATCTGAACTCAAGGTAAAATTGTGTTTTATATTCTAACTTTTGCAGCGGTCGACCTCATTTCATACCGAGCTACTTCTCTTAAAATTCACCAAGTAACATATCCTCACTTGCCGAACTTGGGGGGGGGGGGGGGGGGAGGACTTACTGTTAGAGATGAGATTCGTACCATCTCTAAAAGCCCGACATGAATTCTGGTCGGCCCATTTTGAAAACCCAAAGAATATTCAGGTCGGCCAAATAAATGGAAATCTTCCATTTATCAGACTAAATCCAAAAAAGGCGGAAGATTAGCCTTATCGGCAAGGAAATTTTCCAATTTCGGACATGCGTAGTTATCTCCAGAAGACCGACCTGATCGGCTATAAATATAGGAAATCTTCGACTTCTCATATCATCTTAAAATCTTCTCTCGAGACCTAGGGAAAACTAGCAATATCAATTGTTCTTAGTTCTCGAATCACTTTCCTAAAAAGTTTAGATCGGCATTTTTATCCGACGATCTAAAACCATCTTGTATATCTCAAGCTCCGGCTCAATCTAATAAAGATTTCTCTTTAAACCCATAAATTCTTGTTCGTTCTTTAGACCAAGTTTGAGTTATCACAGTATTCTTTTCGAGTTCGAGCCTCGAGTTACATTTAGTTTTTATCAAATTATTTAAATTGACATAGTTTTGATGACTTATATACATAGTTTTGATGACTTATAAACACTTATATACATTTCGGGTTAACTGAGACTTCAATAATTAATTTATATTTTTTGATAATCGAGGGTATAATTGAAAAATAAAAATACCTGAAAAGTTAATTTGCAAAAAAATCATTTATACATAGAAAAACTATACTAATACCATACAAAACAAATTTATGTATTTTCAACTCAAGATAAATTATAAGAAAATCTTATTACTCGATTACAATGAACTATGGCCAGAATTATGGTGGTTTATTGGTGAGTGCAAAGAATTGGTTCATTTACGCTATGGGTTTAATCCAGTTTGAGATGGATGATTACATCATGTTTTAGTATTATCAACAACCTAGTCTCGGCAATAAAGATATACGGATTCCAATTCAAATTTTTGTGGTTACTAAAAAAAAAAAATATGATGAAAATAGCTGGTTCCGCATTTAAACAGAACTGCATATAACAATCACATGTATATGTCGAATAATATATATATAAAATGATAATGAAAAAGTACTTTAAACATATAAATTTATTTCACATTTAGATATTCCAACCTTAAATGAGCATTTAAAGATCATCATTGGATTCGCAAATCCCATCAGTTTATCCATCTCATGTAAAGGTTGCTGGCTCTGGAACATAAACTGATGTTACAGACTCATCGACCATCGATTTAGTGTTTTGTGTTGTAACATTCAAACTCAAATTCCTCTCTTCATCATAAACACCCTCACATTCATCATCATCCATAGTGTTTTTGGTTAAACCAAAGACTTCAGCTTGTTTGGAAGGCTTCTTGTTGATTGAGGCATCTTTTAGGTAGTTTTTGAGGATGTTATTGTGGGGCCGAATTACATCTTCACCATTCTTCTTAGTTTTTATTATCCGACGCTTTGTGGCATTCCAATGATTCTTAATAGCATTTTCGCTTCGTCCAGAGAGTTGTTTGGCGATTTCAGTCCATTTGGTACCAGAAACTTTATGAGCATCAACCAATATTTGATCTTCTTCTTCAGTCCAAGCATCTCTCTAAAATCACATAAGAATTGATGGTTGATAAAATTCTTATTTTTATTTTTTGATTTACTTCGATGAAACAAGAGAGTTTATTTTGATCAAAAAAATGTCATGCACACTAATTTAAACTATGATGAGAAATTAAGTTTTACAATTTTACTTTGCTTCAAGTTTATATATGTTTAGTACTAGTACTATATATACACACCACTTATATATAAATTCACTTAATTAATGATATATGATGATGTTATAACAAGAAATATTGTGAGAAAAAAAAATCACCTTGATGTTTGGACGAAGATGGTTGAGCCACCTCTCTCTACATTGTTTTCCTTCTCGTCCTTCAAGTATATTTGCGATCATTGTCCATTTTTTGGTCCCATGGATTTCCACTAATTCTTTCAACTTCCTATACATTTACATATCTCAACACATTAATATATTATAACAATCTTAAAATAATCAAGTATAAAAAATATTAATGAGAGATACAGAGATGAAATTATATGTTAATTTTATGTTTCTAAAGGTTAGATTTGTAAATTAAAAAATTAAAAATACTTGCCTATCTTCAGATTTCATCCATCTTCTTTTGAAAATGTTGGCTTTCTTCAAAGGTTTACTTCTCTTCATCACTTTTTTATTCTTCTCTCGATCGGTTTGCGCCTGCACTTGATCCTGATGTTGATTCGTGACCTTTCTAATTTGTATATCACCACGCACTGGAAGACTAATTGTATGAGATTCGGCTATGAAGTTATCAAGAGTTGGTTCATCACTACTACTTATAAGCCCTTTGTTAAATATCGTATCATCCCATATAGTATTTTCCCAAATATCATGAAAATCGTCGAATATACCCTTAGATTCAGTGGTGATTGGGGAGTTATAGGTCATGTTGTTGTTGGCTATGTTATTTATAAGCTCCTCCAAAATAACGGTTTCTAAATAGGAACCGTTACCCATGAATGGATATTCTGATGGTATTTCAGCTATGTGAGGGTTGTAAACTGGAAGATTTTGAGTGTTAACCAAATTTTGATTGAATAGATCATAATTTTGGTTTGCGATCAATGGTATCAGAGTTTGGTTTGGGATCAACGGTGTTGAATTTTGGTCTGGGCTCAATGGTATGAGATTTTGGTCTAGGATCAAAGGAATCGGGTTTTGGTAATAGTTACCGGTCATATTTGGTGGAAGATTTTGGTTTGGGATCAATGGTTTCGGGCTTTGGTGATAGTTACCGGTCATAATTGGTGGAGAAGACCATCCATTGAGAGAAGATTGACCTACATTATCATTGAAAATATTAAGACGATCTTTATATATATAGTCAAAATCATCACCAATAAAAGAATGGTGAGTGTTATTTATGAAAAAATCTTCATTGAAGGTATTCAATGAAAAATCCATTTCAACACCAATTTGATTAAGATAATGATAATAAATAATTTGTCAAAACAATGAAAAATGGAATAGACTTGAATATAAAATCAAGAAAAATATGTCGAATGAGTTTGGAAATTTAGAAAAGAGATCAAAAGCTATGAATAGTTAAAAGTTATGTAAGAACTTAGATTTTTTTTGTTTGTCAAAAATCTAAAAAACTGTGACAATATATATAATAGATAAAAAGATTTATATTTTTTAAAGTATTTTGAAGTAAAAAAAAATAACATTGAAAAGGTAGTAAATTTAATCACCTATGACAACTGTAACTATAAATTTGGTCAAATAATCATTAAAAACAGTTATAATTTATTCAATACATATCTAGTCTATGGTAATACTATAATAGTAATAAACAATTAACACAAAATGCCAAAAATGCTTCTCTATATTTCCAAAATATAGAAATAATTTATATATTGATACAATCTTATATGGGAATATATAAAAAATTCTAAAAAAAATTAAAATATAAAAAGGACATAAAGCTGTATTGATGCATAGGAAAGAAGTGGATAGCTGGCATACACATTTTTGAGTCCATATAAAAAAAAAATAAGGATTGAAAAGGAAAAAAAAGATTTTTTTTTCTACAATTTGTTTCTATATTTTAGAAATAAAAAGATAACTATTAGATATATTTTTATCTATAAATGTGTTATTTCTGTTAGGCCCAGTTTTACCACTTCCAAGAATGATATGATACGTGGACACCGAACTGCTCTAGACACTGACACGGTTTGCTATCTCGGCCAACAACTCTCTAGCGTACTATTCTCGGACAGTTGGTGAGCTTCCCGAATCATGCATGCGCCACCAACCCACCTATTCCTCTGACACAGCGCCTGTTCAATATTTTTGAAAGGCTCTAGGCAAAAAAAAAATTGGGCCTTTAATAATTGATAAAAAAAAATATAAAATTAGGCTTTACTAATAGATAAAAACACAAATTGGTCCCTAATAATTGATAAAAACACAAATTTGATCCCTAATAATTGATAAAAATATAAATTTGTCACTCAATATTACTCTAATATTACTTGACTTGAGAGGTGGACCTGGGGCAATTGCACCGTTCGTCCCACCAAGTAAGCTGCTCCTGCTCTGGCACATCGAACGGATGGAACAGGATGGGGAAGACTTGTATAAAACAAGAGGCATCCTTAGAAGAAGAGAGAGGTCGGCGAGGCGCCAAGGGGCCAATAGGAGAGAGAACCAATTCGATAAGGAAAGATGTCGAGAACAAAGAAGAGACCTCCTTATAGTTCGGTCTAAGGAGGAAAGATCGGACCCCGTCCTGGACGAGCCAGACACTGCCAAACAGCATAGTCAAAAGAAAACACACCCGTTCCCCCAAGACAATGCCAAACAGAATAAGTCCCTCTTTAACTCGGAATCATGCCTTTCTACTCGCTATTCTTCCATTTTTGTTGTAGAACTCTTCTGAAACACCTATGAACAAACAGATGCCCGATCTTCAGACCAGGCATCTCACCTAAACCTGTAGAATCATTCCTCCTGAGTATCTGTTACCGGTAGGGCGTTCATTGACTTGGGCGTCGGAGAACTTTGGGAGGAAAACCCCCTTTCGATCCTCCTGAAACCCCGACTAAATTCTTATGTAGTGCTCGCAGGGCTCGAACAGGCTCTCGCTGGTGCATGCAGGACACGAACAGGCTTCCGTCCCAGAACGATTCGTCGCCTTTCCCCGCAGAGGGCAAAACTCAGAGGCACAACTCCACTACTCGCACGAATTACACACTCCCACGTGGCATCCCGAAATTTGCTCACAAACATTTGGAGCTAGAAGGAGGGGGAGATCATCAGCGAGGAGTTCCACGAAGGAAGCAGTCAAGTTGGCTCAACCGCACAAAAAGCACGTAGAGCCAGAGAAAGCTCGTAAAAACCAAGCGCCCCACAGAGGTCCCTACATCTGGTAAGCTAAGCAAGACGACCCCACGTCTCAAGATTCTAGACCTCAGAGCCACGCTCAGGCGAACCCCAAAGTCAAAGTTCTGGATCTACCACTAAAACGAAGCAACAAACGAAGAAAAGCATAAAGATAAATGAGAAGCAAACCAACCAACAAATGTTTCATAAGGCCAAGAAAGCGGTCGTCAGATCCAAAGAGTATGTGAATACATTTTACAGGGGACAAAGGTCCCAGGGACAAAAAAAAGAGATTATTTTAATTAAAAGCCTGGCAGGCGAGAAGGCCCCACCAAAGAAGATGGGTCCGCGCCTTATGCGTTTCTCGTAACAACCGGCGTATCCGTCCCCCACGAATCATTCCGCCGACGCTCCTCTTCTAGCTCCCGCCGAAGTAGGCCGATCATCGTTTGGCTGTTTGAGAAGACATGGACAGCTATCAGCACTGCATCGGGCTTCGAGCTCTAAGCATCCACACCTCAAAGACGTGGTTCTCTAGTTCATGTTGGCTGTCGCTCATCACCCTAGTCAAGCGCTTCACCTCTGTGCTCAGATTCTCTCCTCGAGCGAAAGTCTGCGCCTCCACGAGCTGGTCCTGGGTTATGAGCAACTCGGCTTGAAGTTCACTGTCCTTGTCAGCAAGGCCACGTTCACGGTGCTCGACTGCGTGAAGTTCGTGGCCCAAGATCTCGAGCGAGCGCTGATTCTGCAAAGACGAAGAATCTTGTAAGGTCTCTGCCTTAAAAAAGAAAAAAGAAAAGGTCTGAGAAAAGTCTCACCGCATCCAGCGAGCGGGTAAGCTTCGAGGCAATCAGGCGCCACCCGGAGAGTTGTTGGGGCGAAGGAGCAGCCGGAGGAGGAGGCGTCAGTATCGGTGCTGTTGGAAAAAGAGCTCCTCACCCACGAAGAGTTTGGCGCCAAAGGTGCCGGGAGCATCGACGTCCCAAGACTGAAAATCCTCATTGGGAAGGCCCAGCCCCGCTCGAGACTTCGTAGCTCCATGAAGAATCAGAGTTCGTGGAGGATGAGATGGGAAAGAGCGGCCCGATGCAGGTAGAAGAGGGGCCAGCCCTCGACACCCCAGCAGCAGGAGAATCGATGTGACACCTCCGCAGAGGTGGTTAAACAGACATCTTCCTTGCGCTTCGAGTGAGCCTAGCATTGGATCGCTGGCCCTTGAGGGAATAAAGGTCCCACACCCACTCAAGTCGGTGTGGGTGACCTGCCGAACCAAAGTTAGCAGACGTATCCTCTCAGTTAGAGGGTCATGATGTAACCTAGGGAAAGAAGCAGCATGCGGGCCGGAAGGATCAGATAGCTCGCCTAGATGCTCACTAGTGAGAGCAAGAAGTCGAACGACCTAAACCGCTTTTGTAGCGCAAACAACTGGTCCAGGTTGTCCTGGTCGTAGGCGTGCGAGGTTGCGGAGCCTATGAACATCAAGACTAAGAATCAACAGTCAAATCGAGCATCAAAAAGGAAAATAAAAGTCGACAGTCTGGAAATTTACCTCGCGCCCGCTAAGTGAGCAGGACGTTGATGCCCTCGGGCACCCTCCAACAGAAGAACCGCTCCCGCCAGCCGCAGCTCTCGGAGCGGTCCCCGAGGATGGGGATAGAGCAGCCATCCTTGGCATGGAGGGTGTAGTGAAGGGAGTCAGCAGTGAGGTTGCAAAGCTGGTAGGAGAGCAGCACCACGGAGCCGTGCACGCAGTCTCCAGACAAGTCTGAAAAAACATGGTAAGCGCTGAGAACGCCCTACGTTGAAGGGTGGAACTGGTTGGGGCAAATGACAATATAGCGGCAGAAGTTCAAATAATATTTTGAACTCTATTATGCCATATCAAATTTGTCGTTTTTATGATTTGTAATATATATATATATATATATATATATATATTCTTTAAATTTAACAACTATTCTCTTCAATTTCTTCAATATCTGTTTCCAGAATTTTTTTTGTTTTTTTATCGAACTAGTATTCTGAATCAGTGGATCACACATTTGTTGGCTTTGGACAGGCAGCTTTATCTAATCAAG